AAACTATTTTGTCTAAACTGAAGGTCAAAACTGGATTATATATATATATATATATATATATATATAAAACTTTCAGGATCCCATAGCATTTCTTAATATACTGCCATTTAATATCAAAAGTACGGACCTAAATATGAAAGATTACCTTTTAAGCTTAAACATTTGGAGATGTCTGACTCAAACAATTATTACAAAAGGTAACAGTGGAAACATATTGCCTGCAGCTCAGGATATTTATTTTGGTAAGAAACCACTTGTTAAGGTGATATTTTAAAGTCAATCTGTGTCGTTTCAGCACACGTCATCAGCTCGTTGTGTGTTTTCGTGGCGTCGACAGATTCACGGCGCCGCATCATTCCTTGGGTTTTTCTGCCTCGAAGCTGTTCAAGATGCCTCCAACAAGTAAGATATCATTTGTTCATAACTTTTGCACAGAACACCACTTCAAAAATATCTGAACTGTCACTTCTTCACGACACACAGAAGTTAAACATTGTTTTAATAGCAGCCAGAAAATAATGTAATTACAGTGTGATTTCATAAAAAAGAAGGAAACAAGGGATATTTTTTATTTAAAGAAAATTGTTTAAAAAATCTGTCATGTGGTACCTCATAATAAATAAAATAAATCAGCTTCTTTGTTGTTATTCCCGTTCTAGTCTGGTCTTATAAATAGAATTGAATAATAGGCTATACGTTGTGGGTATGACAGATTTTCATCCATGCAACACAGAAATTTGATTTATTTAAAAATAGAGAGGGAAAAAGTAAAAGATTTCTTCATTTAAAAAGGGATTGTACACAACAAAATAGTTTTTGCAGACTGCGAAGTACTTTCAAAGTTTTTCGTTCCATCAGACTTTAACACAAGACACACATGAACAAAACAGGCTGAAAGGAACAAATCTGTCCCCGGATGCTTCTGCAGAGAAAGTACGGGACATCTCAGGCTCCTGTGGTCTGGACTCGGTCACACGTGGCCACTCGAGGATTTCTCGGTCCGTGACAATATTTGTTTCAGATCCTCCGAGCTGCAGCAGCCGGAGGACACAAGCTGACAGGGGCGGCTCGGAAACTTGGGCGAGCCCAAACCACCAACCATAGCTGAGAGTTTTCAGAGGATGTTGTTGTGCTGATAATTTTTTTTTTCTTTTACAGATGTGTGATACAGGAGAGCAGTGGTCTCCTTCATGTTGCATTAATGTAGAAATGTAACATTGTACTTCTTCCTCGTCATCTCTGTGAGCTCTGCAGTAAACCTCTCCGCTCGGTTCGGCATGTGTTTTAAAAAAATAAAACCAACACGAAAATTCAAGAAGCTTTGAAAAAAAATAAAATAAAGGAAAGCGGAGACTTCCTGTTGTCTGTTCCAGACCAGGAGAGTTTAATGGTGCGTTCACCTGAGCTGGCTGAGGAGTGAAACGTAGACACTGCCGGTTGTAGTGACCCGTTTCCATCATGCGGTCTGAGCAGCTGCTCTGTAGAGGAAGTGTTGTGGCTGCATGGAGGTAACTGGAGTCCACGGGTTCAAATGAAGGGTGGGGACGGGTCCCTCACTGTAACGCTCAGGAGCTGATCTGCTGCTGCTTAGTCTCCGGAGTCACTGTTCCTACACCTCCACCATCAGCCCCCTCCAAGAAGGGGCCCCACACATGCAAAGATCTACACTAACACCCAATGTTCATGCTTTAACTAATACAGAAGCAAGCAGTGAAAAAGGAAAAAGTCGTGCACTCCTTGTTTTATCCTTAGCTTAGTTTGATTCCACCTTCGGATGCATCTTTTCCAGACAACCTTCCCTCTCTGGGCCGAGTCTCTGGTTCCCTCTGCTGTTTTGATTTGAGTCTGTTTTGACATGAAGAGGCAGAAGGAAAGGAGTTTTCTGAGTGAGGCTTTGAAGGGAGCCAGGTTGGGACTGAAGTGTGTCTCTGTGGGGGATGTTCAGAGGCATCTTTAAAATAATAATAAAAAAGAGATGCAAGCGGGGGAGAAAAAGGACAACGATAAGAATCGAAGCTGAGCTGCTAGAGAGGAGAGCTCGCTCACTTCTGCGCGAGGTACGCTCCGATGGTGATGCTGGCCGCCCCGAGCGCAGCCAGACCGAAGACGGTCTTGAGGGATGGCCAGTAGCAGCTGAGGATGGACTCCTTGTGTCTGTCGTACAGTTCCACAAAGGCGTCCTGGGGGGGAAGAAGGATAGAGGCAGTTAGTCAAAGTGCAGAACAGATTGGAAAACACCGACATCCTGCTCGTTTATGCTGCATAAACCTTTGCTGACACTTCAGATCATAAAGGTGCATTCGCGCTGTTGTCTCTTTAAGGTTCACTCTGCATGAGGAATCTTCTCCTTTGTTATATCCACTAGACCTGTCGCAATAAACAATAAATCAATTAATCGCATGATAAATGAAAACCATCGACCTCATTTTCATTTATCGGCTTTATCGTTTCTTGTGTCTCTCTCTTTCTACTGAAGACACTGGATGACAAAAGGCTCAACTCTGGTGCTCTTCACTGACCCCTCTCTTACTTTTCTCTTTAAAATCTGTTTTAACCGTCCAAAATTGTGTTTTGTGACCGTTAAAAGCAGCTGAGCTGAGAAGCTAAGCTACAAGCTAAGCTAACAGGCTGACCTGGGGGGGGGGGGGGGGGGGTACTCCGTCTTGTCCAAGCTCCAAAATTCATGGTTGATACTTGTGCCTTTGTCTAAAAAGTTGTTTTTCTCTGCAAAAAAGAAGCTGAGAACTTGTTTACTGATTTTATATTAAAAGCTTTGTGTGAAAAATGCTATGCTAAAGAGCTCAAACCACACCGAGCATCTGCCATTTTGAGAACCTAAACACAGGAAGGGGAGAGACAGCCCATATCACGTCAAAAGGCCTCCCTCCCATTTTTCTTAAAGAGACACGCTGCTCGCTCCCTCACTATCCATTAGTCGGTTCAAACAGTCTTATACTGTCATCCAGTGGTCAAAAAAGGTACTACACACAAAATTAACCATCATTTCTTTTTATATTTGACATTACTAATTATTGTCAAATTTCAAACAATATTATCATTTATCGCAATATTTTCTGAGACAATTAATCGCCCAGCAAAATTTGTTATCGTGACAGGCCTAACATCTACACGGATCTTAGGCAGATTTTGCAGACTGCTTTGTCCATGCTTTATTCTTTCCTGTTGGCACGTTTGAGTGGCAGCAGATGTTCTGCTGGAGATGTGCTTCCACAGCTGGAAGTGAGAGGATGTGTGTCTGCAGCATCCAGGAAGATGAAGGGATGTGCTAACATCACATGTGATCAAATTAGACGTAAAAACGTAACTTGATATGGAGTCCAGCAGGAATGTGGCTATAATCCATCCTGCTGATGATTGTCTTTGCATTTATAGGACATTTTATTTAAGAAAATCATAGAAAAATGTCCACAGCAGGTCTCAGGTGAACTCTCTGGACACATATTCTCTGATTATATCCTTCAAAACATCTAAATCTACAGACTGTCTAAATTGGAAGTTTTGAAATACAAAAACCAGCTGTGAACTGCAAAAGAGATGTTTGAATCAGAATTCATCAGCACTTTTACAACTACAAGAAAGATATAAAGTGAAGCAAAGAAAAAAAAAACATGATGTAACCTTTTTAAATTCAGATTTTTAATGATTCATTTCCCAGTAGTAGCAGTTAATAATTAACATAGGATTGGTTTAGGTTGATATTTTATACATCTATGTCCAGTCAAATGAATGGAACTGGAACATAATTCGTTATGATGATGATGTTTCAATATTATTGAGTTTTTATTGGAGTGAAGTGCACCCAGTACCAGAGACTGCTCTGAGAGACTACTTCTGTGCTCAAATGTCATCTTTTATTAGAGCTATCCTAATAGTTTTTTGTTTTTTAGACCAAGTACAAGTACTTCAGTTTTGGTACTTGCAGATACTGAGTAATGAGTAAATGAGTCCTCATGGCTCAATGATGCTAGCCTGTATAAATAAAGGTTGAATGAATGAATGAAAAAATATTGGCTTTAGAAACATTTATTTTCTTGGGAAAACAGCAGTCTGCTGTCTTGTTTATCTTAAAAAAAACCTCTAAGCTGTTTTTATTTTTTCGTGAGTGAAGAAGAAGATTAGGTTAATCAAAAAAGTGGTATTGAGCCAAAATATCAGGGCGGGGGGTTTTTTTGTATTTTTTTTCTAGAAGTATATGAGATTGGTGAGGATGACTCGCTGTGGTGACCCCTGAAGAGGAAAAAGCCGAAAGAAGAAGAAGAAGATATGAGACTGGTATCAGCATCGGGACACCTCTTTTTTTTATTGTCCAAGGCCACGTTTAAGCCTTCCTTTATTTTTGTGTGAAAACTCAAAAATGCTCAGGAAAATAAAGACCTGCCTGACTGGATACCATCAAAAGCAGGTGAGATAATTATTTGCAATTTGTGTGGAATTTCCCTTTAAGCTGTGAATCCCCTGGTGCTCCAGAACACGTGGAAATGGAAGAGAGCTCCGGTACTCCTCGCCGGCTCACACCTCCTCTGCACAAACTCATTTCACACACACAAACAAGAGAGTCGCCGTTTGAAACACATGTTTGTGTTTTTTTTTTTCTTTTTTGTCTTTTCTTGCATGTGCATGAGCGACATACTGAAGTATTAATATACAAATACTACTCACAGAGGTTTAAAAGAAGCCCGCTGCAAAATGGAAGTAAATGTACACGAGGAGCATCTGCACAGCAAATGGAAATACAGACAGCTCACAACTGGAACAGCTGGACAGGAAGTCATAGTGCCAAGCTCTCTGTCATCAACCCCCCCCCCCCCCCCCCCCCCCCCCCCCACCCCCACACACACACACACACACACACACACACAAACACAAGCAGATTATCCTAAACCAAAGAACAGTAGGTGTACTACATTAGAGGTTTAAGGGAGAAAATGCACAAAATATCTCATGACCCACCAGACCAGTTTAAAGATTGTTCATAACATCACTTTCAAGATGGCGCCATCACTGAGCGTAAAACTTGGCGGGGGACATGCATTCCTTTAAGGAACATAAGACCGTTATTTCTTTTTGTGATGAGGCTGTCCACATTAATCGCTGTGCTGCAGATCCAACATCTGCGCAGCTCTCATGTCTGTTTTTAGCTGTAATTTGACCCATGTGTGAACAATAAGGGATAAATGTTTGATTCACTACAAAAAGGACAGTTCAGTCCCCACAGGAATCTATTATTCTCTTCCAATTCTAATGAATTCTACCTCGATTTAGTTACAAGAACTGTATTTCATTGTGAAGCTTATTTTTCATGAAATACACACTTTGCTTGACCTTCGTCTGAATTTTGAAATGGAGCAAAATCCCCTTGTTCAGCTTGCATATTTTCAATTCTTTATCATGAAAAAAAGGCCACACAAGACTAAAAAAAAAGGAGACTGGAGGGCTGTGGGGAGACAAAAGCATTTCCTGTTTCCCTTCCCGTTTCGGTGGCGTTCCTGAGGCTGGGGGCTGGTGACACGAGGGAGGAAGGATCAGCAGATTCCTCCAAGTTTAGGCCTTCTGGTGTCAACACTCACAAAACGGGCTCCTGAAACAGCCAGAGGCGTCTTTAAGCACATTTTTTTGGTTCTAGCTGAGAATTTTTAATTATATCCAGGCCCGTGCTGACAACTGTGATCAAACACGAGTGTACTTAGAGCTGAAACCCAACCTCAGTAAGATGAACACACATACTGAACACGCTAAAACACATTATTATTATTATTATTAGTGTAATTTACATTCAAAATGGTGAATTATGTACTATATTTTTTGTCATTAGGACCAGAAAAAAAAAGCAATTAGGCTCATTAAGGTTCATCATTTTAACAGTATGTTGCTGCTGGTGCTGCCTTCACTAAAATGGGAGTTCAGATTTCTTGTCAGAATTTCTTAATTTTGTCTCACTTAAAAAAAACCGTGTCAGTAATCTTGCTGTTAGCTGCTAATGTTTCCATTAAAAAAATAATCTATAAAATGAATGATTCTGCATTTACTGAGGAATTTAACCTTTTTGTAGCAGAATGAGCAGAACATTTAAAACCTTAAATAATTTACAAAGTTAATTTAGACTTCCTGGTTGCCGCGGATTACAAAACTAACTAAATAAATAAATAAATTTGAAAAAGCAAGTGTTGCCAGGATGATGCAATAAGTTTTGTTCAGTGGATCAGAGTTTTAAAGTTTTTTGGGGGATGGTGTTTATGTTGTTAGCATTTTGCTGCCAAAAGTGAAGAGCGACATATGAATGTGTAGTTCTTCTCTTGTTCTTACAGTTAAAATATGTTGATCCCCAAAGTGTGCCAAAGTACCAAATAAAAGATAAAAAAAAACATGTATTGAAGGTAAACATGACAAACAAGAGGCTAAAATTGTGAAAAATATGCTTACTGAGGAAATCAATCAAACATAAATTAGAGTGTTTCATTATAAACTATCCTGTCTTCATTGTAAAGCCCCCTGCTGGTCAGTAAAAGTACTGCAGGTTAAATCACTTCAACATTGACTTTACTTTTCAAACCTGGAGGCCACATCCATCTGTAACATGCACATTTTGAGGCACTTTTAAAATCTGTACGTTTAAGGAGAGTTCAGACTGGACCAAACTGATGTCATCATCTTTGGAGCCACGTTGCTAAAATAGAAAACAGCAACACTTTGACAGGCTCTGTCCAAAGAGCGTAGATTCATTATCTCTAGGAGTTTAGTAATAATAAGCCAAGCTTTAGTCTCCAGCTGAGACAAACACTTCTGTCACATGTACTTCTGGAAAATAACAGTTTGCTGAGGCCACAACTCGAATCAGCTCGTGACTGACCGCCAGCAAGGTTCAACAAAATGCCAAACTTCTCATGTGTGCCCCAGACAGGCGCCGTGGACTGTCGTCCATTTTAAAAATGAAAGCAGATCATGGGAAGATTCACGAGGGATGTGATGGACGTTCAAAGAAACCCCCAAAAGGGCACAGAGTCACACAGGGGAGAGACCGAGGGGGGACGTCAGGTGGACATCATGAGACCGAGGCGTGCTTCGCTCCAGCTCCTGGAACTTTTCACCCACACGACAACGAGCCGTGTTGCCACAACCATGTGAGTAAAGAGGAAAACAAACTGGACTGTATTTTCCCTCC